ATGGTAATTGATAACGAATAACATTTTCGTAAATAATGTTTCGTTTAGATATCAGTTTCTAAACTGTTCGGTAAACCAGTCCAAATCTGTAAAATTTCTATCCCGATGTATCAGCTGCAAGTCACACTTCTAAAAGTTTGAAAGGAAAAAGGACAACTGCAATAAATGGCATTACTATCAAAATTAACAGTTTTAAGATAAGCAAAAAAGAAAAAAGAAGTGTTCTTCTTTTTAAATTAACTATTTGCAAATCTTTCCCTTCTACAACTTTTACCGTTCAGTGCTTTTTTTTACTGCTAAAAGGTATTCGGGCGTTTATTATTGCTATCAGTAAGTAATGTTTTTTTTTCAAAATTATTTAAATTTGGGTGCAGAAAAAAATTTCTTCCTTTTCCTTTGATTCACAAATTTTCAACGAATATTTCTTTTGTCTCATTTTGTTCAGTCCCCCTTCTTTTACCCTTTGATGTATACGATTTTTGAGAAGAAAAAACTGTATATTTTTTAGCACAAAAAGAGCTTCAAATACCAAACTATTTTTTTAGATATGCTGTAAAATTTAGAAGCGAGAAGAAAACAATAAATCAGATGGCCAACCCATACATACTTTCCAGTTCCTTAGATAATTGAAATCAAATTTAAAAATCCAATAAAATTGACAAGTTTTCGGAACTAACCATTTTGACTCTTTTATACTTGAATGCCAAAAGTAATAAAAAAAACTCCAAGTTTATCACTATAGCTAGACAATTTTTTGGCTTAGCTATTAGTTACAACAGATGACTGTTCTAATGCAGTTGTTTGAAACTTATTGTAAACTTTAGCTTCGCCGCTGAATCAAATGCAGAATCAATCAAATCAAATCAAATGCAGAATCTTTGCAAATTGCTGTCGTATTTTGTGTCCATAGTTTCTTCTTTCCCATAAACTTTTTTACCCTTGCAGTAAAAGGGCGGTAAAAAACAGTGTCATAAATTCGGTGGAAAAAGAGCAAAAAAAAATTAGTGGACTGCAAAACGTGAAAGAGTAAAATAGAACAATAAACGAAAAAAAACTTAAAGTGAAATTTTTGTTACTCATTAAAAAAAAAAAAAGTCTAGAAGTTTCAGTGACTGCTAAACCAATGAACAGTATGGAGTCAAAGTACGCATAACGGTAACAGACTGAAATTTCTTTTAAAGTAATAATTTTTTTCACTTTACTTCTTCACAATTTAACCATCTAATTGGTATAAAATCATAGAACATCTGAAAAAGTGACGCTTGGAACAGCAAAAAATAATAATAATGAAAAAACTTCAGAAAAAAACTTTGAGAGTCTTTTGAAGTTCATTCCATTTGTCCATATTTACTATCGGAAACTAAGTGATCACCTGACATGCAGTTAAATCCATCTTTCTGCGCCATTTTTTTCAACTGATATATGTTCTTTGCAACAGTAAAACAACAGCACTACCTACTGCGACTCTGAAACCACTATTAAATTTTAATTAAAAAAAAAAAAAAAAGAAAGGTAGAAAGGTAAAAATAAATTTGAACACAAAATCAATTAGACATTACAAGCAACGAAAATAAAGAGAAGAAAAATAAAAAGAAAAAATTCACGTAGAAAAGATAACCAAGAAAAGGTGGTTCAGCAGAAGGTGGAAGCTAAAGCAAACCGGATGAAGAAAGACTGTTGTAAAGGATAACTCGAAGCTTCAATGCCTAAGCTTTCAAAAACGTTACCGAGAACTTTTGAAATATATTCCACTGCTGCAGAAGTCTTTTCTTTTGACATCCATTCAATTCCTCAACAATGTATATTATCAACCCTTACCCCCTTCAGGTTTCAAAATTCAAATTCTTCCTGTATCAAGGTGTTAATTTTGTTAACGTCGTGAGGCTAACAATTAAGACCTCCCAATCTGGTGAACGCTGAATCAGAAACAAAAAATTAAGTTGAGTTGAATGGAGCAGTTTTTGTTAGTGTCAAAAAACTGTTTGTTGAACGAAGGGATTTTGCTGCGAAAATTGTTTTCTCGCTTCAGAATCCTTTCATTCAACAGCATTGTCAACGGTGACGGTATGTTTTATTCCAATCAGAAAAACAGTGTTAACATATGTGAAAAAATGTGTGATTAGTTTTGAATTTTTGTCACCATCAACTGCATCGGAAACAATTTTCTAAAACTATTGTTATAGGTTCAGTTTGGTGGTCCTCAACCTACGCCACTTCCGCTGTCGTTTCACCCGTAGTGGTTTGGACCCACTGGGCGGTTTTCGAATTCCACAATTTGGTTGCCTGCTTTTATCGGACATCGCATCTTCCAAGACATATCATCGCATTCTGCACTGAAGACTTTATTTCTTGCTTGCAGTTATGTTTCTCCTTTGGCTGCTTTACTTTTTATTCTTTTTTACAAATGTATGCAACAATTTTGGTCAACAACTGTTGTCAGTCCAGGAAGAATAAACGAAGTTTGTGGTTTATAAGTCTTACTTATAATATTGAATATGCTCTGTACTCTTCTATGGTTTTTGCTTCTTTTGTGTTAATTTGTTTTTCATTGATTGTTTGAAGTTAAATATAATTATTCTTGGCATTCCTGAAGCACAAAGTGGTAAACTACTGATAGTTTCTTGGAGTACGCAAACTTTGTTAATGTTAAATACAATGATGTAGTGGTTTCTTCGCTTGCCGAGAAAGCGCTGAACGAGCGAGTCAGGTTACATATTTCAGATTTCACCACAAAAAAAAAAAAAAAAAAAAAAAAAAAAAAA